TCTAGAAGGTTCTATCTTGTTCTCCAAGTTAAGTTTCCTCTCCAAGTTATTACTCCTCCCCAAGTAATTGTATCCTATATATACCTTTACTCTCTATTGGAATAAGACACACAATTCTCTCTATTCTCTTCTTCTCTCATTCATAACAGATATTAAGTTTTTTTTTTTCTTTGGTCAAGATTAAGTTCAAGGGCCATATATTTTAAATTTTTTTATAGAAAACTATTGTTCAGTTATTGTGGCCTCATAAAATTGTTTTAGGGTTGTCCCAAGTTCAACTCTTTCAAAGAATGTTGTATTATTTTCAACTTTTGATGGTTTATAAGTTTCAAAAAAAAATTTTTAAAAAAACTTTTGATGGTCTACTAACTAATAGATCGACCAAAATTTTATTCAGGGTTCTTGAATCCAAATACTGGCTTGTAAATCAATTAGGTATTGTTTTTTTTTTTATTTCGTATGTATTGGTTTAATTAAGTCATATATTCAACTCGTTTGGTTGATACTTTGGTATACATATATATAACAATTACGTCACGAGACATGGTAATATGGTGGCCATGCATGATGCAGGGTGTGGACCAAACATAGCCACGACCTCGTTAACCACAAATTTGTCTCCTTCAACATTGATACCATACCCAACATTGATAACACACACACAATGACACACATATGCCATATAAAATTGAAAACAAAACGCTCCATATGTGTATATATGTGTGTGTATGGCAGTATGGTCATAGGTTGCCTAACTGAAGAGACATTTTAAGCTGGCTTGTGATGATGCTTAGGAAGAAAGCAAATGTCACAAATCGTGTGGGTCTTAACAAGAAGTTAATTCTATTTATAACCGAAAACCGTTGTAAAATACGTTGCCTAAAGTCAAAGATGTTATTTGACCAACTGTCCTTCCTTACATCCAAAGTCTCAACTTAACACTTGCTCGTGCTTCATAGTCACTTTAATTTTTTCTTTTTTTTTTAAATCCATATGTATTTTTCTTGGAAGCAAACATTGTAAAATATCAATATATATTACTTATAGGTTTGCTCTAATTTATTCAAATTTCATCTAACAAGTTTCGTTGATCGGAAATTAGAATTACAATTCTGTTTATTTGTCAAAATCGTTGATCCTACATTCCTACTTCTATAACTAATACAGGCCGGGCCAAGCTTCGAAGTTTCTAAAAGTTGCCAAAACGGGATATTGGCCGGCCCGGCCCACGAGATATCTCTTACAAGTAGTAACAATTGGAACATACACTCTTGAGGTTTTTTACTTTAGAACCAATTGCTCAGCCAATCTTTTAGGCAGAGACATGGAAACGAAGGAAAATGCGTTGGTAGATGTCAGGAGGATGCATTGTAGCTCGCAGCGGACATGTACTACTCCTGATCACCCATAATCATGACTCAAATCGATTCAGAGCAGCTCGTAGTAAGTCACTGATCGAGAATCCGCTGAGAGTGGCTGATCTGTTTCAATCTTAGTAAGAGGCAATCTTCGTTTCAAAAGCAGTGCAAGATTAAGCAAAATCTACTAAGCAAGTGACTCTATAAAGGACTTCATGTTCACCACATCTTCTCTTGTTGTTACATGACTAGGTGGCTTCATAAGCTTCCAAAGCCCAGGGGGATGCCGTTGTTTCGCTCGGGCATTCTCTTTTCTCTTCCCGAAGATTCTTTCGCACTCTGGGTATGGCTTAATGTATAAATTATAGAATCTTTTCATGCTTGGTTTTATCAAACCTTTCAATCCAATATCACAGCCAAGCCCGCCTTTTAGTTTCAAGTAATCAATGACATTGTACCGTGGGATAATCTGCTTCTGGAGATTCACCCCTAGATACTCTGGTACATCAGCCAAGCAATTAATGTGAAATCCCATTCGGTTAATCAAAAACTCAATCTTCTTCTCTATTTCATCTATCTCATATAAGATCACCCTCGGCTCTTTCCACACAACCTTGAACGCGTCTCTACGAATCAACCCGTATTTGCACAAACAATCAACTCTGAGTTTCACTTCAAATCCAGCACGAAACGCTCCCTCGCTGAGAATACGAACTCTGATCACTTCGCGGCATTTCAATGCCTTGATCAACTCCAAACACCGTGAAAGCTCGCCTAACTCTAACCCAAGAACCCTCGGTTCTCTAGCAATCTCTTTCTTAATCTCATCCTTGCTAAATCCCATCTTCTTGAACTCGTCGAGCAACGGCTTAAGTCTAGTCTCAGTACCAATCCCTAGAATTTCAGGAAAAATGTGAAAGAACCTCTCAATGTTATCTCGAGGAATGTCGATTCCAATCAAAAACTCAATCTTCCTGCGAAATTCAATCTCATTCACAACAAGAACTCCAGGAAATTCACTCAAAATCCTACTAACAGTACTATCACAAAACCCTAAACCTTTCAAAACCTTCGTGCATTCATAAAACTTATCTGGGTCAATCCCAATTCTACTAGAATGTTCAAGGACGCTCTTAATCGCGGAAGATGAGACACATTCCGATAGAGGAGCTCTCCATTTCCTCAGGAACTCCGATCGAAGAACATTAGGGCAATCGCAAATCAACGAGACGAGTGATTTCTGAGGGATTTTCAACGATAACAAGATACCGAGAGAGGTTTCGGTCTCGGCTAAATCCGAATTCAAAAGGAAATTGTTCCTTGAGAGGAAATGCTGGAGAGTTGAGGAAGGGAAGCCATACCTCTGAAGAAGATTCGCGAGCAGAATCTGTTTCCTATACTGCGATTGGTTGATAGGTGGGAGAATCCGTGAACCTGGGTTTGAAGATAGTGATCGATTCTGGGTTTTTAGGGTTACTGTGAAGCAACGGGGATTGATGTAGGTTACAAGTTTTGAGGCCATTCCGATTTAAAGCTTCGGCTTTGAAAGGCGGTCGGTCACTGTACAGAGGAGGAAGAAGACGATGTTGTCGTGTAAAATTAAGATTATTATAATTACACTTTTATCCTTAGAGTTTTATTTTTATTTTAAGAAAAGCATCTCACTTTTAATTGTGCGCGAATTCGCCGTTTTCTTTTTTTCCGTGAGCCCATTGAGAAACTCTCAGTTAAAGGCGAAATTCAGGAGTCTCGTTGAATCAAACTCTTTGGATTCTTAGGGTTTCGAGTTCGTGGGTTGTTCTGAGTTTCACAGGCGTAGATGGTATTGTTGATTTCCCTTCTTTTCTCAATTTTTAACTCTTTTTACAAAGTCAGTCTCTTTATACAAATTCTTGAATGAGAGGAGATATTGACATTTCAAAGATTAGTTTTTTTTAGCAAAGTAGAAGCTTTTGAGTTTTGAGATCATGTCTTGGTTTAGAAGATGCAAATCATCTTCATTTCTTGCTGAGAACTTTCCCATTTTTAGTCTCTTAGGCTGTAGAACAAAATCTTGAGAGAGTTTTGTGTAAGGATGGATAATGGGGTGCAGAGTTGGGATGATTTCTGGTGAATATCATGGTTTGAACAAGGTTTCTGTGATCAATGTACTCTTGTTCCTTCTCAGCTTTATTAAAAATGGTGCTTAATATTCTTCCATGGTGATTTTGGCAGGCAAAATTTAAGAGTAATCTGAGAGCTTCACGGCTTGTGATTTGCAGGAAATATTTGGTTTCAACGAGTATCAGATAATGACTTTGTTATTGTTGATAGCTAATGTTGCTTGCTTGTGTTTATGTCTTGGAGAGGGGGTTTTAAGTTAACCAATAATTCATAATGAAAAACTCTCATTGCCAGTCCTCAAAGTTTATAACTTTCAATCTGATTTACATATTTGAGTAAAATCATGCTTAGTGCTTACTCAGTTTTGGCCGGAAAAGGTGTCCGTTTATTTTATTCATTCTAGATCATAGCTACCAGAAACTTCAAAGAGAGTGATTGTGTGAAGCATTTTCCAATATCAGCTCAAACTTGCTCTTCTTATCTATAGAACATGTTCAGGATAATGGAGGTGATGTCTGGTCTTTGTCCAAGAATCTCTATATATTTTGCAGGTTCCAAGCTTGGAGCTATTCAATGGTTGTCTTAACAACAAACCCTTTCTAGCATTGTAGGGAAATCATCTCGGGTTCGGCTCACCTTGTAGGAGCTGCGGTTGCACCACCCATTGCGCGTAGGCACGGATAAGGAATAGCCGATTGCGGTTACGGTTTCTTCTAGTTTGGTGCCCGGTTAGGTTCTCTCACTTGATGTATTTAACACATATATTGTTAAAATTTGATATAGATGTAAATTATGATTTTGGAGATTGGTAAATTCATGGTTCAATGAATATTTACAACTTGTAGGATATTACAATCTCTTCTATATTAATTGGAAAGTGATTTGTGAAAAGATGCTTACTCCACATTCACTCTCCCAAATAAAATATGATATGGTTAGAAAGAATTATGACATGGCAAGAGACTAATTATTTCATACATTTTAAAGTTTTGATTGTCATAAAAATATCTTTGCAAATATTTATTTATGGATTTTTTTTAAAAAAAAAATACTGATCAATTTTCACATAAACAAATTTATAGAAAAATTTGGTCACCAAAAAAAAAGATCAGAAGAC